TATATATATATATAATAATTATAATAATAATAATAATAATAATAATAATAATAATAATAATAATAATAATAATAATAATAATAAAAATAATTAATTAATTAATAATATATATATAATATATATATATATATATATATATATATATATATATATATATATATATATATATATATATATATATATATATATATATATATATATATATATATATATATATATATATATATATATATATATATATATATATATATATATATATATATATATATATATATATATATATTATATATATATATATTATATATATATATATATATATATATATATATATATATATATATAATATATATTATTATATATATAATATATAATAGATAGATAGATAGATAGATAGATAGATAGATAGATAATTAATAAATAATAATAATAATATAATAATATAATATAATAATAATAATAATAATAATAATAAATAAATAAATAAAAAATAATTAATTAATCAATAAAAAAATAAAATAAATAAATATGATACCCATAAAACAGTTTGTATAGTATATCAATAATGCGTAAAATATACCTACAGGAAACTATGAGACAATAAAAAATTGTTACACAGATTACATGAAATCCCTCATCATTTCAAGGTTAACGTGAAATCCCTAGCTCACATATTCTCCCTCACATATCTCACATATCTATCTATCTATCTATCTATCTATTATATGTATATATATATATATATATATATATATATATATATATATATATATATATATATATATATATATTATATATAATACCTTTTAAAATAGAAAACGTAATGATATGAGAAATGGCAACTGATAAGAATTAAAAATATGTTATGAGAATCGCAGAACTCTAGACCAACAGTTTTTCTTTCCTGCAATTGGACGCACTATAGTATATAACTATGAAATCTGTAATATATATATATATATATATATATATATATATATATATATATATTATATATATATATATATATATATATATATATATATATATATATATATATATATATATATATATGGCCAGGAGGGATTTATATTGTTAATATACCAGAATGATCATGCATCAATATTTGCAATTGGAATAAACCATATGGCACAATTTAAGATGCTCTTTAAAATGGATTTTTTCCCACGCCAGATTTTCATATTCAGCTTTTCTTTAGAATAGATTTTTCCTTGTACACTTAAATGTAGGAAACTATTACTTCATTTCTTTTTTGCCTCTCATACTATGATATCATTTAATATATGTGATAATCTTTGAATGTGTTTAATTTCTATTTGAGTATAAAGAAGTAAGTTAATGCTTTGACACAGACCTTGTTTAAAGTACATAGTGACTGAATTCAGCGAAAACGCTATTTGAAATAATACTGAATGAATTTTTGCTTTTTATTTTCTAATCTGACTTTTACCAATACATACATCAAGGAGACGTATCATTAATTCGAAACAGGTAAGGAATATGCGTAACACACAGTTGTGAAAGATGTTTTCTTAACAATCGTCTACAATGGAGAAGTTAGTCCTGTAATGTAGTAGCAGGAGAAAAACTTGTCCTCGTATGACCTTTCTCTGCATCGAAGCGGCTGTATATAATGTGTGCCGCTGAGCGAACGGCATCAGATCCTTCTGAAACTACCAACCATCATGAACGCTAAGGTAGATAGCAAGTGAATCTGTTTTAGTTCCACTGCGCTTTACTACACTTAATTGTACGCTATAGGTGTAAAACAATTCTCTCTGTAGAATATCAATAATGGAATAAATTAATATTTTTAAAGAACGAAAAAATAGGAAACTAAATTCATTCTCTCCGTTTTCTTTTGCACAGGTCCTGCTTCTGGTGTGTCTTGCAGCCGTTGTTGCTGCGGACAGTTTTGTAAGTACTTATTTATTCATTTTACAAAGGAATAAAACATCCGATAACACTACTGAATTCAATGAACTATATGCGTAATCACAAATACTATTTGTTTATTCTACAAAGGAGAAATGATGAGACATGGCATAATGATATTACATGAATAAAGGTGCACTGGTATAAATATTATGACATTCCTTTTTTCCAGGAATCTGCTGAATCAGGCGAATACAACTTCAACTGGGCCGTCAACCACGACGACTCCGGCAACGACTTCGGACACCAGGAAGCCCGCAATGGAGACAACACTCAGGGATCCTACTACGTGCAGCTCCCCGACGGCCGCCTGCAGACCGTGAGGTACGTCGTGGACGGCGACGACGGCTACGTGGCCGAAGTCAGCTACGAGGGCGAGGCTCGTTACCCCGACTCCAATGAATCAAAGTGAAGAGAACGTGTTGTCCTCTACGAGAAATGAAGCGCCCAGGAACACAACAGATTTAAGAATCTAACTTATAGCTAGATCTTTAATAATCTGTCCAGGTTAACGCAAGAATGTTCTAACAACTGGAATACTGATGATGCAATTCCCACGAGTTTCTCC